AATAATAAGGTAGTATTTGCAAGTATTTGCATATTTTAAGATTCTCAAAAACAATTCTATTTATGAAGTGGCTTAATGCACAGAATTCCACCACAATTGGCTGTTTTTAATACCACCGTAACAGACGCCCTCTTGAATCCATTTAGTGACATCAAGCATGTCATTGTTAACGCCACACACTCTTAGATCGTCTGTCTGCTGGTTTGAAACCAAGCTGCCGTAGATGATTTATTCCATCTGTAATGAGCTATAGAAGTGTATACTGTGTGCACTGGTGTGTTCAGCCTGAGAAGCCGTAAGGAGTCGAGCTTCCCACAGGACCCAGAGAACTGAACGCGCTCGCAGTAATCATATCTCTGGCTCGTTTCAACGCTGTCAAATATTCCCGCCCTGCCCTCTGCTCACCTCATTCTCGCCCATCAAAAAATAACATTACATCACCCGAACCCCCAGGCGCTAAACCTTATACCGTTTAAACACATGCCACAAGAATACTAGCCTTTTGTTGAGGTTTGCACAGAGAGAAAACACTGCAAGTCAAGATTCGTGAGGTTTGACAGACGTTTAGAAGATTGAGATTTATAATCGTCATCATATGCTTACAGATGGTTGCAATAAAAAAAACATCACACAGTGTTAAAACCAATAACTAAATGAGCTCTTCATTTTGATATTTCCGTTTTTACAAAGCCAGTGAAAGCTTTGCAAAAACAAAATGAAGTTGTTTATTATAGAAATATTAAAACTAAAATATTGTAGAAGAATATACAGTGTCAAAACCAATAACTAAATGAACTTCTCATATATCACAAAAAATACCTAATTTATTATAGAAATTTTAAAATTAAAAATAAATACATAATTTAGTGTTAAAACCAATAACTAAATGAGCTCTTCAATTTCTTTTTTTATTTCTGTTTTTAAAAAGCATTTTTGCTGATTATAGAACATTTTGAACTAAAAATAATGTTGAAAAATATGAATGTGCTAAAATACATATTAGCTAATAATGTTATATAAAAATAATAATATTATCAAATATAATATATATAATATTAAATAATATTATCTAGCTATTAGCTCTTAAGAAATTAATGCTTTATAAACATATGAATAAAAAAATATATATATAAATATAATTTTACCATTTAAAAAGAAAAGTACCTAACCAGGGTGTCTGAAGTTACTGACTATTTGTACTGTACAAAATATCAGTTTTGAGACACTCAAAAGCACTCAAAATCTAAATGACCTATTCACTTGTTTACGACAAATAAACTATTTTCTACAGTCGATGTGAAAAGCGCTTCACTCGTAAAAACAAAGCTGAAAAATGAGTTTGCAAAGAAAAATCTATCCAGAATGGAATAAACAACAACAAGCAAGCCACCGAGTGCATAAACAGCTTCCATTAGGGCTTCATTTGGAGCTTTCTGAAGTTAACGACTATTCGAATGCGACGTAAAATCTCTGACAGGCGCTCAAACCCTCGTACTCCTCAACGGCAGAGCGCCGCTACTGTGTCTTTGTCAACGCTGGAGGTTCAAGGTGGTGTCACAGAACAAACTCTGACATTCAGCAATTAGATGCCTTGACATCGTTCTGAAGTTCCAAGAGATCCAAGAATTCCGCTTCCATAGAGACGAGTCTCCATGTGTCAGAAACACTGAGACGAAACCAAAGAGGGAAAAAAGAGACGTATTTGCACGGCTCCTTTCAAGTGCTGGCTGGGTTATTTTACAGTGAAGAATAACCACACGAGAGTTTGCGTGGTATCGGGTCCGTGTGAGCCAACTAAACTGGCTGGAATTATCCGAGAGTGTATTTTTGGAAAGCCATTTGGTGCCAGGTCCTTTCCAACACGATTCTGTGCTGCACGCTTCAAAGATCACAGACGCTGAGACAAGACGCTGCCATTGTTTCATGAGCGTGTAAACAAGTGCATTGCTCTATTTCTGTTTAGAACCGGTTTTGAAACTCATCACTAATTACAGTTTTAAAAGCATTTTTAAAACTGCACGCACGTGGTGCATTGAAGAAAAAACTAAAGCCATTAGATTTGTAAGCATGAAGAAAAAACAAAGCAAAAATAACACAACTGTAGTTTTTGTACTCTTTTGCTATTTGATGGGAAAATAAAATATAGCTTGAACAATAGCACAGCCATGCATTACAGCGATTTTACCACGGTAGACCATCAAAACACAGTCAAGATCATGCACAACCTCTCTGCTTTTATAAAAAACTGATTATAAAACACACCAATGTTTAATAAATTGTTAAATGTATTAAAATTAGTAATCTGCATAAAAAATGATTCCATTAATCTAACTGCGCGCAACCTTCTGCATTAATATAAAATGTGCGGTTTGTGTTTCTCATCATTTTACAGTGATTCTGAACAAAGTGTCTAAACTACAACACATACCATACAACGACATACAGTGTGAACGAGCACAAAGACTATAAAATCCACCTATATGCAAGCACACACACAAGCTTCACACAGACACATTCCTCAGACAAGAAAGAAAATATGACTGGAATGAAAGCGAGTAGAGAAGAGCGGCATGAAAATACGGCGGTGTCTCCGACGTTTGGACTAAAATAAAGTATTTCTTCCTCCTTCTGCAAGCAAAAGAATGCTGCGGCTGTTTAGATTTCCCTCTGCGTCCATCGTTCCTTTATATCCCAGTAAAAACACAGCGGGGTCAAAAGGTCGGTTCGTGACCCAGGGCCGCGCACTCCCCTGCAGGTGTCAATTGGCACATTGGGAGGAACTGTAAAAACACACTGTAGACTCACTGACAGGATTGGATGTGATCTTGAGTTTCAACTGCAAAACTATATGAGATACTTTCCACTTTACCAAACACAATCAGATCTTTACTCACGTTTAATGTTACATTGTTACGTTAACATTGTTAAACAGACTTTAGACTTTTTTTTTTAAATGCAGACAAATAGCTAAATTAGTTATTGTGTAAAAATTATTAGGTTATATATATATTCGATAGAAGTCACAAGAGTGACAGAGAAAGTAAGCGTGTTTAAATCACATGACTACACATTTATAATCTTTAACTTTTTTTGTTTTATACATTTTAACCACCTAATTCTGCAAAATCTCAGTTGAATGTGCATTTCAAAATTGTCTGATGCACTGCACCTTCTGTTTTTAACAGAAATACTGACAAAATGCTAAATAAATTCCTTTGGTGAGTACATAATTCTACCAGCTCCATTTACTAGAATCATAATAGAATATATGATAGAGGCAATTACTAAAAAGTTTTAAAAGAAACACATCTTATTTTCCAGTATTGCAAATATCAAGTATTTGCAAACGTGCTCACAAGTCAAATTTAAGGCAATTCTATTTTATTGCAATTTTAGTGAAAGAAGTTGATCTGTAAGTTCTGTAGATTTGTTTTCAGCAATAACTCTTAGCAAACTAGCTTTACAGTCCTCCATCGTGCTAAACACACACTCATCCAAACGTCACTTTTGCTAAGGAACCAGCATCTCCACAGACGCCAAACAGAATAAACACTTTTCATGAGCTATTTTGATTCCTGCATGATTTCAAAACAAATAAAGTTAACAACCGTACAACTCGGTATATGTCTGCGGATTTGCCTATTAAAAACACCGAATGACTGAAGAACAAAGCGAAATGACAGTAAACATTCAAAATCGGAAACACTTTTAGACACGACCAACGTAGAAGCGTTTGAATCCATCTATAATTCCTGCAAAGAGCTTTCCTGGACATGATAAACATCCATGGATGTGTCAACTTTCTTACAAACAAACCTCACATCTTAAACCTCACGCCATGTCTTTTCGACCGGTCTTCCAGAGCTGACGGTCGCTTCATATTTTTGCAGAAAAAGGGCAAAGAGGAGCAGAGCAGTCTGGGATACGTCCACGTCGCTCCGCGCTCGAACTCTGCGTGAACTCGGAAAAGAAAAACAAACTGAAAAAGACACGGCAGGGAGTAAAACTCCACGCATAACTGCGTCACTCACTCCCCTCTCGGACGCATAGCAGGCCGCAGAACCCCCCCGCTCTGCTCGCGCCTCCAACTCAATGAAAACATCATCGCCAACCATCACGGCGGCGGAGACAGAGACCGAATAAACAGAGATGAGAACCACCCACGGCCTCACAGCTGGAACAGAGCAGTCAGAGAGATAATGATAAAGAAATCGGCTTTATCCTTCATCTAGTCCTTTTTATTTCATGCACTAATGACTGTGAAACACGCTGGAACCGTTTCCACATCAATAGCGTCTCAGTATCTCACCAGCACAAATCCACCCTCTCTCGGCTCGAGACAAAAACACAAGTCGCTTCGAGCAGCTCTGCTCTTGACACACCAGACCACAAACGTCACCTTCGACCTCTTTCTCAGCATCTACTCTTACATCCACGACGTTTTTAATCATCGCAAAGGCTCCACAAAATTAAACGAGGTTTCCCTTCAAAAATGCACAAACACAATGTTCATTCATCGCTGTAGCCAACTAAACAAACATTTCAACTAAGCAGCTTATGGCAGTTTGTAATTTAATCCTGCTCTTTCCTAACCAGAACGTAGCTGGATTTTTGCACAAAAACAAGCCCGGTACAGTGCAAGAGTAGTAAAGATGATTTAGCAGTCAGAGGTCGAAGAAGCTGAACTTCTACAGACGTTTCCCTTCATTTCCTCACTATACGATCGCCACAAACCCACATTTACCCACTAAAATTCTAAAACATCCAATGCACAATGTAGAAAAACAGCATGCCCCTACAACACAACACTGTGTTTCCAATTAGAAGATTTTTTACTTAACTAAAAATGTCATGGCATGTGCTAACCATTAAAAGACAGCCATTTGCTTTCACAGCTTTGACCAGACGCTGGTAAACAAATGCACTTGATGTCCAACAAATATCCAGTGTTTAAAAAAAAAAAAAACGGTGTATTTTTTTAAAAGCATAGCATGGCTTGCCTGTTTTTTCTTTGACATCACACAGGACGTTGAAGAGCGCTGGCTTCATTCTGTGGCAGTTGAGAGCATGTTTTCTGAAACACAACACAAGGCCGCGGTGAGCGTCTGAACAGACGATATTTCACTCCACTAGCAAAGACGTATTTATCTGTGTGTTGCCTGAACGTACAGTGATCGTGGTGAAATGAAAAGCACATACCGATCTGAGCAAACCCATGCTAGTCTCTGTTTATCATATTTTGCATGCATACAGTATGCATAATATTAACAAAATTCTATTAGTGACTAGCACTATTTCAGTAATTAATCATTCATAATTTTGTATCTATGCATGCATTGTAATAACTAAAAAAATAAAATAAAATCATTTTAAAAAATGCATGTTTTTTTATTGAACATCCTCCATACGCAAAAACAATCAATTTGATTAATTCATGTATTCAAACATTTAACATGATTGCAGTAATGGAGTGATTACATGTTTAAACTATTAACTAATACAAATCAATAACACTGTACTTGCAAATATTTCTAAAATACACAGGGGGAAAAAAAAAAAAACGGTGTATTTTTTTAAAAGCATAGCATGGCTTGCCTGTTTTTTCTTTGACATCACACAGGACGTTGAAGAGCGCTGGCTTCATTCTGTGGCAGTTGAGAGCATGTTTTCTGAAACACAACACAAGGCCGCGGTGAGCGTCTGAACAGACGATATTTCACTCCACTAGCAAAGACGTATTTATCTGTGTGTTGCCTGAATGTACAGTGATCGTGGTGAAATGAAAAGCACATACCGATCTGAGCAAACCCATGCTAGTCTCTGTTTATCATATTTTGCATGCATACAGTATGCATAATATTAACAAAATTCTATTAGTGACTAGCACTATTTCAGTAATTAATCATTCATAATTTTGTATCTTTGCATGCATTGTAATAACTAAAAAAAATAAATAAAATCATTTTAAAAAATGCATGTTTTTTTATTGAACATCCTCCATACGCAAAAACAATCAATTTGATTAATTCATGTATTCAAACATTTAACATGATTGCAGTAATGGAGTGATTACATGTTTAAACTATTAACTAATACAAATCAATAACACTGTACTTGCAAATATTTCTAAAATACACAGGGGGAAAAAACATACAATGACTAAATATATTTGAGTTAATTGAATTAAAAACCTCTGTTCTGAGCAATATTCATCCTAAAGGGACACGATCAGACGTGTGATACGAGTCTCACTGCTGTCTGTCAAATTCTATCTTGGCATTTGTTCATTTCTATTGACAATAAATGAGCACTGCATGTCAGAAGAATACACTGATGTCTGTCACTACACGCTACATGTGTCCGGACACACTGACAACAGCGATTGTGTTATCAGTCCATTTCTGGATGCATACTTAGTCGATAACTCCTGATCTGCATGTAAATATTTGCTAATTGCCTAGTATCATAAAGATGTCAAACATCTAAACTATATTGCCTAACCTATATTCTTTTCTGCCGTTACTGTTACTACAATAGAATTGTTTTTAAAATGCCACTTGATAAGTAAAAAGTGAATTAGACGCCAACTGACATTAAAAAACTAGATACAGTAGATTCTAGAAAGAGATGTCATATTAATTTATTAAGAATTTACAGTGTTAACAATAACTGCAGTAGTGTAGGTTATTTATTATAATTTGGCATATCATTAATTAGCTTACTAACATTTTTTTATAGCGTTGGTCAAGTAATATTATTTTTAAAATTATATATGTGTAAATACTATACATAAAGTATAGTATTTATAGTATGCAAACGTTTCATTGTTATATATATATTATTTTACATTTCTATATTTAAGCAATTAATACATACATATAGTGCACTGTATAAAAAGTGCTATATTATTATATTTTTTTCTATTACGAGTATGTTTTTAAAATTATTTGTATTAATTTAATGAATAGCTATTGTTTGTAAAAGGTGTATCTTACTTTATACTCTAATTAATCAAGTGTCAATGCGTTTTGAAGATGAGAGTCAGCATGAATATTCCAGATCCTCGGATGAGATGAGTGACAGCTCACCTGGCCTGCGCCTCGTCCAGACTCTGGTCAGTGATGGTCATGATCTGTTGTAAAATGTCTCCAATGTCCTGCTTCCTTCCGTCTCCGTCGGTGGCTCCGGTGTTGTCCGGTATGTGCTGAGACAGGCCCGGGTGTCCGCTCATCCCCACGGCCGCATGAGCGTGCATCAGGCGCGGCTGGTCGTCCATGTCGGCCCGCTCCGGTCCTCCGGTCTCTCTCTTGTCCAGCTGCGGCGGAGATTCCTCTGGCAGTCTCTCGGCAATTTGTAAGCACACTCCTCCTGAGCTCGCTCGCTCACTCACTCACAGCTCGAGCCACTATCAGCTCTTTAACCACTAAACTCACCGGTGTGTGTGTGTGTGTGTGTGCTGTGTTATTAATCAGGTCCCGCGTGAAGGCAGCGCTTCATACACTCGCGCGTTATTTCACTGTTTCATCCCGCCGCTTTTGTTACATTGTAGCGCTCTCAGAGCTCAGAGACTCTGCGATGCTTTGGCCCCGCCCACGCACTCTGATTGGACGCAGGGACCGCGTAGCCCCGCCTCCGCATGGCTCTCAGCTCACGTCAATCATCGCACAGGGAAGATGAAACGCGCTTTGCTCTTCATGTTTGTCCGCTGCACATGTGTTTTTTGTTAATATTTCTAAAGGCCGCAGAACCCCCCCGCTCTGCTCGCGCCTCCAACTCAATGAAAACATCATCGCCAACCATCACGGCGGCGGAGACAGAGACCGAATAAACAGAGATGAGAACCACCCACGGCCTCACAGCTGGAACAGAGCAGTCAGAGAGATAATGATAAAGAAATCGGCTTTATCCTTCATCTAGTCCTTTTTATTTCATGCACTAATGACTGTGAAACACGCTGGAACCGTTTCCACATCAATAGCGTCTCAGTATCTCACCAGCACAAATCCACCCTCTCTCGGCTCGAGACAAAAACACAAGTCGCTTCGAGCAGCTCTGCTCTTGACACACCAGACCACAAACGTCACCTTCGACCTCTTTCTCAGCATCTACTCTTACATCCACGACGTTTTTAATCATCGCAAAGGCTCCACAAAATTAAACGAGGTTTCCCTTCAAAAATGCACAAACACAATGTTCATTCATCGCTGTAGCCAACTAAACAAACATTTCAACTAAGCAGCTTATGGCAGTTTGTAATTTAATCCTGCTCTTTCCTAACCAGAACGTAGCTGGATTTTTGCACAAAAACAAGCCCGGTACAGTGCAAGAGTAGTAAAGATGATTTAGCAGTCAGAGGTCGAAGAAGCTGAACTTCTACAGACGTTTCCCTTCATTTCCTCACTATACGATCGCCACAAACCCACATTTACCCACTGAAATTCTAAAACATCCAATGCACAATGTAGAAAAACAGCATGCCCCTACAACACAACACTGTGTTTCCAATTAGAAGATTTTTTACTTAACTAAAAATGTCATGGCATGTGCTAACCATTAAAAGACAGCCATTTGCTTTCACAGCTTTGACCAGACGCTGGTAAACAAATGCACTTGATGTCCAACAAATATCCAGTGTTTAAAAAAAAAAAAAACGGGGTATTTTTTTAAAAGCATAGCATGGCTTGCCTGTTTTTTCTTTGACATCACACAGGACGTTGAAGAGCGCTGGCTTCATTCTGTGGCAGTTGAGAGCATGTTTTCTGAAACACAACACAAGGCCGCGGTGAGCGTCTGAACAGACGATATTTCACTCCACTAGCAAAGACGTATTTATCTGTGTGTTGCCTGAACGTACAGTGATCGTGGTGAAATGAAAAGCACATACCGATCTGAGCAAACCCATGCTAGTCTCTGTTTATCATATTTTGCATGCATACAGTATGCATAATATTAACAAAATTCTATTAGTGACTAGCACTATTTCAGTAATTAATCATTCATAATTTTGTATCTATGCATGCATTGTAATAACTAAAAAAATAAAATAAAATCATTTTAAAAAATGCATGTTTTTTTATTGAACATCCTCCATACGCAAAAACAATCAATTTGATTAATTCATGTATTCAAACATTTAACATGATTGCAGTAATGGAGTGATTACATGTTTAAACTATTAACTAATACAAATCAATAACACTGTACTTGCAAATATTTCTAAAATACACAGGGGGAAAAAACATACAATGACTAAATATATTTGAGTTAATTGAATTAAAAACCTCTGTTCTGAGCAATATTCATCCTAAAGGGACACGATCAGACGTGTGATACGAGTCTCACTGCTGTCTGTCAAATTCTATCTTGGCATTTGTTCATTTCTATTGACAATAAATGAGCACTGCATGTCAGAAGAATACACTGATGTCTGTCACTACACGCTACATGTGTCCGGACACACTGACAACAGCGATTGTGTTATCAGTCCATTTCTGGATGCATACTTAGTCGATAACTCCTGATCTGCATGTAAATATTTGCTAATTGCCTAGTATCATAAAGATGTCAAACATCTAAACTATATTGCCTAACCTATATTCTTTTCTGCCGTTACTGTTACTACAATAGAATTGTTTTTAAAATGCCACTTGATAAGTAAAAAGTGAATTAGACGCCAACTGACATTAAAAAACTAGATACAGTAGATTCTAGAAAGAGATGTCATATTAATTTATTAAGAATTTACAGTGTTAACAATAACTGCAGTAGTGTAGGTTATTTATTATAATTTGGCATATCATTAATTAGCTTACTAACATTTTTTTATAGCGTTGGTCAAGTAATATTATTTTTAAAATTATATATGTGTAAATACTATACATAAAGTATAGTATTTATAGTATGCAAACGTTTCATTGTTATATATATATTATTTTACATTTCTATATTTAAGCAATTAATACATACATATAGTGCACTGTATAAAAAGTGCTATATTATTATATTTTTTTCTATTACGAGTATGTTTTTAAAATTATTTGTATTAATTTAATGAATAGCTATTGTTTGTAAAAGGTGTATCTTACTTTATACTCTAATTAATCAAGTGTCAATGCGTTTTGAAGATGAGAGTCAGCATGAATATTCCAGATCCTCGGATGAGATGAGTGACAGCTCACCTGGCCTGCGCCTCGTCCAGACTCTGGTCAGTGATGGTCATGATCTGTTGTAAAATGTCTCCAATGTCCTGCTTCCTTCCGTCTCCGTCGGTGGCTCCGGTGTTGTCCGGTATGTGCTGAGACAGGCCCGGGTGTCCGCTCATCCCCACGGCCGCATGAGCGTGCATCAGGCGCGGCTGGTCGTCCATGTCGGCCCGCTCCGGTCCTCCGGTCTCTCTCTTGTCCAGCTGCGGCGGAGATTCCTCTGGCAGTCTCTCGGCAATTTGTAAGCACACTCCTCCTGAGCTCGCTCGCTCACTCACTCACAGCTCGAGCCACTATCAGCTCTTTAACCACTAAACTCACCGGTGTGTGTGTGTGTGTGTGTGCTGTGTTATTAATCAGGTCCCGCGTGAAGGCAGCGCTTCATACACTCGCGCGTTATTTCACTGTTTCATCCCGCCGCTTTTGTTACATTGTAGCGCTCTCAGAGCTCAGAGACTCTGCGATGCTTTGGCCCCGCCCACGCACTCTGATTGGACGCAGGGACCGCGTAGCCCCGCCTCCGCATGGCTCTCAGCTCACGTCAATCATCGCACAGGGAAGATGAAACGCGCTTTGCTCTTCATGTTTGTCCGCTGCACATGTGTTTTTTGTTAATATTTCTAATAGCACACATGTATTTAGAAAGAGCGTCCTGGGTTTTCTGTGATAAAAAAATGTTTGGAGGTGTGACCATATGCAAATATAATACTGGCTAACAAAATGTTATATTATTTACATTATATAATATAATTTAAGAATCGAATATAATATCCCATTAATAATATTATTGTAATTGTAATTAAATACTATAAATACAGTAATGTCAAATAGTATTAAAAACTATGTGAATTAAATTTGAAATATTTAAATGAATGTTGTATATTTATATAAAATAGTAATCATATTTAATATTATAATAATAAAACGTAGCAACCACAATATCATATTCTATTAATTTATATTATGATATATTAATACAGCAATTATATGTAATTCGTTTTTTGTGTAATATGCATAAAGCACTAGTATGAGTATTACAATTTATTTATATGTTTATTTATTTGTGTAATAAGCAGTAGTATGAAAATGTATGCATTCATTCATTCATTCTATACAATAGAATAAAGCTATTAAATATGTAAAATATTAAAATAATAAAACCTATATGAACAATATAAAAATTAAATGTCGGATCTTTTTTCTTATTATTGTAATTTATTCATTCATTTGTGGTTGGAACTCATTAGACACATTTAATATGAGGGACATTGAAGGTGGTGGGATTTCCTGATGTTTCGAACACGAGCTAAATCATCGAGTCTGATGGTCAGGGTCTGTCTCACGTTCCCCTTTGACCAGTGATAGACCTCCAGTTTCTCTCCAGCACTCCATCTCATTTTCCAGCCCGCTGCCAAGGAATAGATATATTTCACCGAGGTGTAAAACTCCCAATCAAAACAATCGACCTTGTCCTTCATCCATTTCAGTTATTACCCGATAAATGTGCTTAATTCAGGATTAACGATCGAATGATTCTATCCTTCACTTCAGTCCCAATGAATAATGTTGAATTTTCATACTGATTTTGTCTTTTAATTAAGCAGTAGCAAAGTGTTTCTGAAATGCAATGCTAAAATGATTTGATGCACGCACTCTGATTGGACGCAGGGACCGCGTAGCCCCGCCTCCGCATGGCTCTCAGCTCACGTCAATCATCGCACAGGGAAGATGAAACGCGCTTTGCTCTTCATGTTTGTCCGCTGCACATGTGTTTTTTGTTAATATTTCTAAAAGCACACATGTATTTAGAAAGAGCGTCCTGGGTTTTCTGTGATAAAAAAATGTTTGGAGGTTTGACCATATGCAAATATAATACTGGCTAACAAAATGTTATATTATTTACATTATATAATATAATTTAAGAATCGAATATAATATCCCATTAATAATATTATTGTAATTGTAATTAAATACTATAAATACAGTAATGTCAAATAGTATTAAAAACTATGTGAATTATATTTGAAATATTTAAATGAATGTTGTATATTTATATAAAATAGTAATAATAAAACGTAGCAACCACAATATCATATTCTATTAATTTATATTATGATATATTAATACAGCAATTATATGTAATTCGTGTTTTGTGTAATATGCATAAAGCACTAGTATGAGTATTACAATTTATTTATATGTTTATTTATTTGTGTAATAAGCAGTAGTATGAAAATGTATGCATTCATTCATTCATTCTATACAATAGAATAAAGCTATTAAATATGTAAAATATTAAAATAATAAAACCTATATGAACAATATAAAAATTAAATGTCGGATCTTTTTTCTTATTATTGTAATTTATTCATTCATTTGTGGTTGGAACTCATTAGACACATTTAATATGAGGGACATTGAAGGTGGTGGGATTTCCTGATGTTTCGAACACGAGCTAAATCATCGAGTCTGATGGTCAGGGTCTGTCTCACGTTCCCCTTTGACCAGTGATAGACCTCCAGTTTCTCTCCAGCACTCCATCTCATTTTCCAGCCCGCTGCCAAGGAATAGATATATTTCACCGAGGTGTAAAACTCCCAATCAAAACAATCGACCTTGTCCGTCATCCATTTCAGTTATTACCCGGTTAATGTGCTTAATTCGGGATTAATGATCGAATGATTCTATCCTTCACTTCAGTCCCAATGAATAATGTTGAATTTTCATACTGATTTTGTCTTTTAATTAAGCAGTAGCAAAGTGTTTCTGAAATGCAATGCTAAAATGATTTGATGCATTTTATTTAAACGTCTAGTTTGAGCACAGTGCATCGATCTGTTTTAATGCTCAGTGCAGCGCTGGGGTTTTTCAGGTATGTTCAAGCAGCACGCTTGACTGTGTTCGCTTGGGTTTTTCTAATGTAAGCCGGTGACCCATGGTGCGCAGCCAAGCAGCAGGGCCTCAGTGTGTGTGGCCAGGCTGAAAAGTGCCTTCCAGGTCTGAAGCATCCACTCTAGTGCTCCTGCCTCTGCGGGGGAGGTTACACACACACACACACACACACACACACACACTCGATCCAGTGTGTATGATTGAGAGATGCCTGCTTAACTCAACCGAGAACATCCAGCAAATCCCTGAGCGAAAATAAATGCAAGACACTTCAGGCTAGTTTCCCTTTTCCAAATTGAGCAGCGACCCTCTGGCTACGAGACGGATTTCTTGGAATGTATTTGGAATGACTTTGCAGACAGTCCCCTGGTTGTTCTCTGTTTATCCTTAGTTTGAGTTTGTAAAAGGACAGTTCTGTACCTGGCAAGCGTAAGCAGCAGTGTGTGCACTGTGATGACGTCTCTGTAGTGTGCATCTCGCCATCTGCCACGCGTAACAGGAATCCCTGAGAGATCTTTCATGTAGCATGAGAGATGGTCGCACTGTCCAAACATCTGTCCTGACCAGCGCACGGCATCATATTCGCTCATCAGATCAATCTAACAAGCGTTCAGACACCACACACTTCCTGGAATGTTACAATGGGTTAAACTGGACATAAAGTGCTTGCAGTTTTGGGCCTTGTTTTTACGCTGTTTCACTTTGGAAATATTTTAGTGATCGGAATCAGTTATAAGTTATAGACATTTTAACAAAGTAAATCATGCAAAATTCATGCATGTGAGATCAACCGCATGGTCACAACTCTAAAACGGAGATAATAAAATGTGACTATATAATCTTGTATAGTACAGATACACTCTTAGAAATAAAGGATCTCCTTTGACATTCTTTAACAAAGGTTCTTTTATAGTGGAAAAAGGTTCTTTTAGATAAAAATGGTTATTTTAAGAACTGTTCACTGAAATATTTCTTTTATGGCATCACTGTGAAAATCCCATTTTGGAACCTTTATTTTTCAGAGTGCAGCAAAAAAGAAAAATAGACTTATTAAAGAAGGAAAAAATCATTTGTGTCCAATTTTGATGCAAACCCTTGTGCTGAGGTGGAAATCCTTTATCTAATTTGGTGTTCCAAAAAATGATCAGCATTTTAAAAATTGCTCGTAAATCTCTCATTATGCTACATTATCACCAAATCTTTTGTTTTCTTTTGATTTAGCACAGTTTTTTATTTCATTTTGTGGCTTATTGGTCATTGGCCTCAACTATGTGAGTTTATGAACCTCAGTTTTTAGCTAAAAAAGCATTATTTGTGGATAATTTTGGCAAAGTTCAGTGAAAAAACATTAACTCAGATCAATGAGGCCTATGACCAATCAGTTCATAAAATTAATACAAAACCTGTGCTAACTGAAAGAAAACAATTTGATAAAAAGACTGAATCCAACATTTGGCAATAATATAGCATATTGAGCCATTTATAATCGATTGTTTGTAGGCTGGTCACAAGGAACTTTGCTCGCACTGACAGCAAAGTCAGTAAGTTTTAATCCGATTTGATAACATTAACATTAACATCAGCATTTTCAGGAAAAGTAAAATCCTCTCCAGGTCAAAATCTCAGAATCTGGACATGTGCAGTTTTGTTTGTGGCAGCCGCTCATAGTTTCCTCATGATAAGACACGATATTGGCACCCTAATGTGATTCACTGTCATACATTCACAGCTATATTAACAGCAACAAGAGTCCATTTCAGACCACTATGTCAAATACAACAATGGGAAGACACATTCCTCGTCCTACTTCCATATGGAAAACCACTGGATCATAGTTAAAATGTGCACTCTTTGATTTCTTTTGCATTGTATAATTATCAAGACCTATTTTTTTTTAATTGTCCCATGCAGTGTTTTCTGCCCTAATTAAAATACAGTAAAAAGTGTTCAAAGGAGCAGGAAGTATCATCAAATGTTAATTTATAATAAACAAACATGCAAAGGAAGATTTATGAAGGATATGAAAATCAGTGGAGCTTTTCCACCAAATTCTGTGGGCGCAGACTTGCATATAATGCCATAAATAAAATACACTAATTTACTGTTTTAATACCATAAGATGTCAAATACAACAATGGGAAGACACATTCCTCGTCCTACTTCCATATGGAAAACCACTGGATCATAGTTAAAATGTGCACTCTTTGATTTCTTTTGCATTGTATAATTATCAAGACCTATTTTTTTTAATTGCCCCATGCAGTGTTTTCTGCCCTAATTAAAATACAGTAAAAAGTGTTCAAAGGAGCAGGAAGTATCATCAAATGTTAATTTATAATAAACAAACATGCAAAGGAAGATTTATGAAGGATATGAAAATCAGTGGAGCTTTTCCACCAAATTCTGTGGGCGCAGACTTGCATATAATGCCATAAATAAAATACACTAATTTACTGTTTTAATACCATAAAAAGAACAACCGGGAATGGCTATTGACATACGACTTAAGACAGCAAATGTTAATGACTTAATGTCAAATCGTATATCACATTTCTCATCAA